GACGCCGGGGCCGCCTCCTCTCCTGGGCGGGCGGGCGGCTCACCCCGCGGGAGCCCGGCGGGCGCGGTCCCCAGGCGGCGGTCTGCTTGCGGGGCCGCTTGCAAATAAAACGTATCAGCGCTTGGTGTTTGCTGGAAACCTTGGGGCTCCCCCTCTGTCTCCGTCCAACATCAGATCCCAGCGGGAAAAAGGAAAGCAGAAGGGAAATTATGCCGTATTTTAATTCCTGTTCGTTTTCTCTTACACACACGCACACACACACACACAACACGCGCGCGCGCGCGCGAGTCTCAGTAGATTCTTGTTTTTATTCATGTATGGGCGTGACTAGGGAGAGTAGTTTTTTTGGTGGGTATTTACAATTCACGTTTTCAGGCTTTGTGAGTGAGTTGTCATTAAATGTCAGGTGATCAGGACAGAACCTGGATCATGTCATCTTCAGGATCCCCTATCTTCTCAGTATGGGATTTCTCTGTGATTAGAAGAGTTTTTCTAACAATCGGAAAAAAATTGCTTATAGTACTGTTCAGATTTATTGAGAATTTTTTTTTGTTGTTGTTTTCCGGTACTGGGAATCGAACTCACAACCTTGCACTTGCCAGGCAGGCACTGTGCCGCTGAGCTAAATCCCCAGCCCCCTATTGAGAATTTTTAAAGAACAGCTCTAGTCTTGCGGAATCTAGGCTTGCCTTAATTTTATTATAGAAAAAAAAGTTTTAAACCTTTATTTTGTTAAGTGCACCTCAGAAGCCAGGGATTAATAAAGAAAAGCAACCAGAATAGAAGGAATTCACTGAAAATTTGGATTACCACCCCTTGGCTATATAACTTAATTTGTGTTGTTGTTGTTTTTGTTTTTCGTTTTTCTTCCAATACCAGGAATTGAACTCATGACCTTGTACTTGCCAGGCAGGCGCTTTGTCGCTGAGCTAAATCCCCAGCCCCGTAACTTAATTTTGATGTCTCATTTGTATTATTTTTTCTAAATTAATTTCAGCTTTCTAAGCAAAAAAAATTAAAGTACTGCTTATCAAGAATTTACATCTAAAAATGAGCTTTTAATGTTAAGAATATAAACATTTCAGAGTAAAAAATAAGTAAAACTGGGTACAATCTGAGTTTTAGTAGTGGGAAAAGCCAAGAGCCTATAATAGGAACCAGAACTTCCCAGCAGAGTTTGGATTATTTTACCACTTCTTAAAAAGTGAAGGAAAAAACCCCAAACACCATGAACTGCAACTTTCTAAAAGTGCCCTAAGGGCACCACACCCTGTATGACATTTTTAAAGAAAGGGATTACAGAATTTGGCAAACTACATTATACCCTCAACCTTAACTCAATAAAAAATTTATTTAAAACAGCATAGAGGAAAATAATTTATTTTGCATACATTTCAAGAATACACTATACAATAAGTGTTTTAGATGATATTTTATTAAAAAGTCATAGTTTGAAATTATAAAGTGAAACTATTGCTCAGTTCACTTTCTGGTAATCTTTTGGAATCCTCACAGCCAGAAAATATTTCATTTTTAGAATTAAGTTTTCAGAATAAAAAAAAAAACGCTCAGTGTGCCTAAATACATAGAAAACTGAACATAAACAGGCAATAGTATTTGCTTAATTTACAGACTGACAACTGTGTTCATATTCACACTAAAGAAGGTTCTAACACTGATCATTCGGTTGTTGAGATTCATAAGAAAGACACTGATTGATTATACCCTGTGATTTTTAAAAATTTACTAGTACTCACATTATTTGCTCTTAAAAACACATATTTGACTTGGAACTAAAGTTCTGACCAAAATTATAGACATTAAATGTCCTGAGAAGTTTAATGTGTTAAATTTGAAGCAAACCCCAGAGAATTATGAAGGTGTGCGTAGGTGAATCTCTGTAAGACCCATTGGTAGACTTTTGTGGTGCAGGATTATTACATTGGACAGGGAGCTACAGAAATCCAGGTAGTGGGAAAGAGGAGAGGAAGAGAGGGCCAAAACCCTGCAGGTAGATTCTTGGTAGGAAAGCAATGAAGTGATCCTTGTTATCCAAAGTATCTGTTGTCCAGCCTTTGCAGTTGCTGGGTTGCAAGAAAACCAAAGTCATGGGAACTTGAAAATATTCAGTACTGAAGTGACCACTTGTAAAATTAGGCCCCACTCAAGCATTCTTTGCTGCATAATATTAGTATCTAGCTGGGCCTGCTGTGTCAGCATCTTTGCCCGTATGTCTTTGCTTAATTTATCAACCTTACACATTTGAAAATGCAGTGTAAATCCAATGTGCAGTTATTCCACAGTGTGGGATTGAGCTTGTAAAAGATCCAGAATTTCATAAAATGGATGTAAGTGATGTCAAAAGGGAGGACGATGGTAGGATTTTGTTTGGTTGCTTTATTTGTTTGTTTGTTTTATAAATGAAGATTTGATTGAGTGAGCAGCTGAAAAAAAAAAAACTGAAGAATGATGCTGGCCAAATATCACTTCATACAGAACGACCCAGTGCTTTTTCAGGGCTAAGGACTGAACCCAGGACCTCAGTTCATCCTAAGCATTTGCACTGCTACTGAGCTGTAGTCCCAGCCAACAAAAGAATGGTTTCGAGTACCAAGGTCTTAAAGAGGAACCCTCAGGAAAAACAGAACCTTGCAATACTTTTCCAAACGTGATTGTCTTATAATAACTGTTAGTGACATAGGATAGAATTCTATTAGGCAGAAAGGATAGCAGGCACAAAATGGAGTAAGGAAGCTCCAGATGGAGTCTGGTGAATCATGACCCTCCAGACATCATACAAAAACTTCTGTCAGGTTTACGTTGGTTGTCTGGGACCCCCCAAAGCATGATCAGGTAGGCCATTGGCTCAAGGGTGCATAGGCACTGCGTAACACTTCACAGATTAGACCCTAAAAAGTATGTAGTTTCCTCTAGGGTAGAGGTAATATTGCTTACACAGTGGCCTAAGCTCACTCTTAATCCCTTTAAAAGCCCTTGGACAGAGAGCCTTCCTGGGCATTCTACTCAGAAGCCCCTCCTGGCTAGCAGGAGCTTTACTTTCTTGCCTGTATAGCTTTTACTTTCTTGCCTTTATAGCTTGTAAATAAATTTGCTTATACCCTAACTTCTTTGTTCATGGTTTCATTCTTCATCACCATGGGACCTGACCCCAGCATATTTGGGGACATGTCCAATATTCTAAAAAGAAGCTAGTAAAGTCTATGCTTTCTTATAGTCTTTGCTTTCATTTTATAGCTTTCTGCTCAATACAGTATCAGGACCCATTGACCAATTACAAATGATTAACATGGTTGCTGATCTTGAGTTCTTGGGGGACAGGTTTCACTGATACTGGCTTAGGTGAAAGAAAAAGATGCTGGGGTCCCTGTAGGCTTCTGAGAGCAGCCCCCTAGTGTCCTGGAGACCTCCCACTAGGCCTGTCCTCTTAAATGTTCTACCACTTTCTAATAGTGCCATAGGCTGAAGATGAAGGCCTTCATCTTCACTTTAACACATAGGTACCTGGGGGACTTTTCAGACCCAGTCTATAGCAGTCATCTGTGTTAGGCTATGAAGGTGAAAAGTGAAAAGAGGGTTGTTTGTGTTTGTGTTTTTCTCTGTGCTTTCATCAGGAAAGCTATGTTTACAAAGTTCACATTAATACATTCTTTGTTCATTATGGAATTAGCACATAGTTTCAGAAATAATCAAAATTCTGATGCATACAAAATTAATTTAATTTTTTAACTTTCAGTTTTATTTTTTAA